CCGCGCCCCCGCCCCGCCGCGGCCATTCATAAGGCCCGGGCCCGCAACAAAGGGCGGGCGGCCCGGCCCGGGGGGCGCGGGACCCAGGCTTGGGGCTGCGCGCCGTGGGGGACGGCAGTGGCTCCGCGCCGAAGGAGCAGGAAGCCAGGGCCTTCCCCCAGCGCCGATCCGGGAAGCCGCCGCTAGCGGAATCTGGACGCTGTCCCCGCGACTCGTGGCCGAGCCCAGGCTGGGGGGCTCGCGGGAGGGTCGGTCCGGGGTGCCCCCCACCCGTGAGGCGTGAAGCCCCGGCAAGGGGTGGAGCTGCGGGCGGGGCCTGCACCCCCGTGGCCGGTGCCGTGGTGACGTGGCCGGTGCCAGAGAGGCCCTCCCGCGCCGGTCGCTTCCCGACTCGCGCCCGCCCGAGCCGTGACGTGACGCGGCGTCCCCGGCTGCGCCCGCGCGCGCCACTCTGGGCTGCGGTGAGTCAGCAGCGCCGGCGCGCCCTCTGCCGGCCCCACCTGGGAGCGCTGCCCGGAGACCCGGGGAGGGGTCGCCGAGGCCTCCAGGGACAGGGGGCAGTCCGACGGGACTGCGGGCGTTGTGGGAGCCTCGCTAGGAGCATGAAGCCTCCAAGTCAGGATACTGGGGCCTCACATTCGGGGAAACTGAGGCCGGAAAGGCAACTAGCTCAAGGTCACTCTCGGGGAGGGGGAGTGCCTGGGGGGCGGGGCGGGGGCAGAGGTCCCTCCCGGGCGGTGCTGGCTGCGCCGAGTGCCTCCCACTCCACGTCCCGGGGGGCTTCCCAGGGCTGGAGACACCTTTGAACACTGCCTGCTCAAAGAACAAAGAAAAGTGGGGCACCCTCAAGAGCCTAGAGTGAGAACCCCCTTCCTCGGCCCGCGAGGTCCCGCCCCCCACTCACCGGGAGAGGCAAGTCCGAAGTCCCAACTGTCCTGGGTGTACCCACGTCCAGGCCGAGCGCGCGGTGGCGGAGCCGGTCTGGGGCCGAGCGGGCGGCCCCCGAGCCTTTATCCGCGCCGCCTTCCCTCGGGGTGGAGTTTGGGCGGCCAGGGGGCGGGGGACCGGGCAGGCGGTGACGCAGGCCGGCCCCCGCCCCTGCCTGCCGGCCAGGGCCCTGGGGCGCCGTCGGGCCTGGGCCACCCGCCCCCTAAATCTCGCATTTTAAACGGGGAGGGGGTGGCGCTCCTTGAATGCTATGAATCCGGGGTCACGATCGGCCGCGTTGACGACTCGGGCGCACCCGCACTCCGGACCGTGCTACGGGATTTCGGGGTGCACAGCTGGATTCCCTGCCCCGCCCCCTTTCTGGCCGAGTGCTTCCGCCTGGGGGCGCCCGCGTCGGGGAGCGGGAAGGGGGGCCTGAGTCAGTGGCCTCGGTCCAGGAAAACAGGCTGGGGTCACCTGCCTGCAGTGGGGGGGCCCCAGCCAGCTGCCCTGGCGGCCCAGCCAACTGCATCCCTTAACGGTGACCTCAGAGAGCATTTATGGAGCGATTCACCAGCGCCAGGCCTGCCTTGTGCATCCAGTCACCACCCGCTGGGCTTTGTGACCCCGTAGGGCACTGACCTTTGTGAGCCTCAGTTTCTGCAGGGTGGCAGTAGAATGAAGTGAGAGAACACAGCAGACCTCACTCTGGAGCCTGGGGATGTGGGGCCCTCACCTAGGCCTGGCAATATTGCCATCATCCCATCAGGCATGCTCACCTGCTGGTATCCTGCCTTTGTGGTGGGCGTAATCACCCTACCCATTTTACAGGTGAGGAAACTGTGGCCACACAGCCATTAACAGGCAGAAGCCTGGCATGTCCTCAGGTGTGTCCCTACAGGTCGCCCTGTGTAAGGGGGCTTTCTAAGGATGACCCTGGCTGAGGGTAGGGCCCTCTCAGTCGTCCCTCCCTCTCTGTCCAGAGGAGGGGGACCCCAGGGCACTTGTCCACTTATCTGGTGTCTCCCTTTATCTGACCTGACCACCTCTGCCCCCAGCCTTGCCCTGGGGGCCCCTCCCAGGGCTGTACTCCTTTCCAGGTCTGCCTCCTGCTCCCACCCAAGGGCTCCTGCAGTCTCTGGCCCCCCACCCCCTCACAGGCACACCCAGACACTCCTAGCCCCACAGGGTCAGGGCTGGGCTTGAGGGAGGGATCAGGAGGCTGGGGTTGAGGCACGGATAGGAGTTTGCCAGACAAACAGAACAGTGCTCAGATGAGAAGCAAGTCAGCGCAAAGCACCGGAGGCTCTCACGAGTGCCCCGAGACCCGGTGATGGGGCCGGGCTGAGGGTCTGCGGGCCTGGCCTACTCTGCCTGCAGAGAGAGCAGGAAGGCAGCACAGGGGACCGTGCGCTCTGAAGCCGGAGCATCTGAATGATGGAGGGCTCACGGAGGGACAGGCCAGGTGGGGCCCTCAGGTGGGCAGGTGGCGCTGGGTGGGGTGCGGCTGAGACCTCCAACGCATCTGTGATCTCACTGGGCCTGGTTCGTCTGCCTGCAGGGAAGTGGGCTGTCTCCTGGCATGGGGCCCCTGAGGGTCACACACACAGGGGACCAGTGGCCCCTGCCTGGCTTTGTAAGTCCAAGTTGATAAACGTGCCAGATCAGCCTAAGGCCTGTTTTCTCCCACTCATAGCATCCCTGTGCTATGGGGGGCAGTCCCAGGCCGTGAGTGCACTCAAAGCATGAAGGGACCCCTTCCTGGGAAGGAGATGAACCCTTGGGCACCGCCTGCCCCAACAAGGCCCAAGGCCTGCACTCTCAGAAGGGGTCGTGACCCCTGGTTCCTGGCCCTGTGACCCATCCCACCCTGGGTGCCTGCCACCCCGGGACGCAGCCTGGCCAGCACAGGCTGTTCCTGAAGCCCTCAGGGCGCAGGTGTCCCCAGGCCGGGCTCTGAGGCGTGCACGTCCCCCAGGGGGCCTGCACCATGCTGGGGGTCCTAGCTGTGTGGCTGTGTCCCATAGCCCCGGGCTGTGGCCTCAGGGGGTGATGGTGCAGGCAGGCTCCCTGGTGTGGGGACCACTGGTCCAGGGTCTCCTCCCACAAGCCTCCACCAGCCCCCAGCTGTGTCCTTGCTCTTATTTATAGAACAGATGAGAAGCCAGTCCAGGAACTCGAAGACCTGGGCTCTAAGCCGGGAGACAAGGAGGGGAGGAGTGGGGCTGCACCTGTGACCCCACAGCTGTCCCAGCTTTAGCTGAGCTGGGGTTTCCTGAGGAAGTGGGGGCCGGCTGCTTGGACCTCACCTGCACAGGAGCAAGCCCCAGACGGACACCACCCAGAGCTGCAAGCTTGCCTGGAGACTCCCCAGACATCAAGCCTCAGAGGCAGCTACGGGACAGTCATTCGCATAAGATCGTGACACAAGACCACACAGCCCACCCGTGCCAATGACAAGCCTGGGAGTGGCCTCTCCGTCACCTTCTGGCTGCCGGTGACACAGAGAGGCCCAAGCTTTCCCACACACTCACCCCCCTGAAATGCCCCACCAGCTCTGCTCTGACCCAGGGCCGGGGAGGGGGGCAAGGAGGTGGCCAGTGCTTGGGTCACCCCCATGGTTGCAAAAGTGAGTTACTGGCTGAAAGAAATGGGACAGCCCTGAAGCTTCAATGTGCCAGGACCGTCCTCGCCCAGCCACCCCACCCAACTGGGGCCAGTCCAGGGGCCCGGGTGCCACGGAGGTGCCAACACCACCAGGGATCGGGCACCTGGCCAGCTGGGCCACCCACAAGCCAGGCAGGCACAGGGCAGGTCCTCCGTGGGAGCAGGCAGGACCCACCCCCTCCCAGTGCAGCTGGGGTGGGGCCGGGGAGCCCATGGGACAGACGTCACAGTCTGGAACCTGGCAGAGCCTCATGTCTGTCCAGCAGCCCAGGCCCAGCCCAGAAGTGGTAGCCACGCTGCTGCCTGCCATCCCCAGCCCTGGCTGGTGACCTTTGCCTGTGCCCACCCTCCCGGCGTGACAGCCAACAGCCTTCCCACAACCCAGCCTGGTTTTGCGAGCTGAGCCCGCACCGCCAACACCCCAAGCGGCTCAGGCTAGAGC